AGGGGTAGTAAGATTTAGCCTTGAGGCAGATGACTAATGCCCAAAGTTATGATGAAAAGACTGGTGATGGCTCAGATTGACTCCCTTTTCCATAAAAGCTATTGTAAGCCATACATAACTACATTAGAGCATCTTAGAATATCTGTCATCATAGATAAAGACAAACGTCTAGGTATAAACGCAAACAGAGCCATTTATGAAAAGTTTTCCTTTGTAAAATATAATTTGGTTGGAAATGACCCTACTCATTCATTTTGGTCTCTTAAGAGTTAAATATCGTAAATATTGTCTCACTAATGTCTGCTTTCTCTTCTTATTTTTTCTGTTTTTTCAGAAAATGGACAGGAACAGAGATGGTGTAGTGACTATTGAAGAGTTCATTGAGACCTGTCAGAAGGTGATGCACACTTTTTTGTCCCACACACCAGTCAGTGTAAATCACAATTACAGTATTGCAGTAGATCAAGGTTCTTGGTTCAATGTCAGCTACAGCATGACGGCACTCACACTGACTAGTGTTATCTCCCTTCACACATATTGTAAACCCTGACATGTTATTTTTGGAGGAATATTACACTTTCTAGTCTGTAATGATCATATTCTGTATTTATATGTGGACTTTGCCTTTACTAATTATAGCGTGTTTATTTTTGAATCACCTTTAATCCTGTGTTCTTCTATATGTGTCTCCACTTCTTTCTCACAGTCAGTACTGTAAGGAAAAGAGACCTGATTACACCTAATTTCCTTTTTTAATACCCAATTCATGAACTTAAAAACGTCAGTGATAAAAACTCAGCTTCACATCCTCAAAGATATCTCTGTAGTTAATAACCAGAACCAGATGTTCCTCATATCAGTACACTATTTTGGTTGAAAAATGTTTATAAACTAATATCCTTAATCATGAACATTCTCTGAAGGAAAGCACTTCCTCTGTATTTTGCTATATTAAGCTCCTGGTGTTTAATTTGTCACAGTCAGTATCTACACAATGTTAACAAACACTAAAACAGTGTTTACTCATCATCTAGTTATTTGGGCAGGCTGCTTTTTCAGATTTTTTATGTCTGCTAGACAACCTTGACATAAACACAGTTTTTTTTTCTTAGATTTTTTACAGTAAAGTCAGTGGGCCTTACCAGGAAGACATCTCTGTACTGGAAAAGAAAGAAATTTTAAAACACACCTCCAAAAGCTGTAAATTGTTAACTGGGCAACAGTAAAAGTCATTATCTCCTGATAAAGGGTAGTTTTGAGTGTTGGCACTCACTACCAGCAAGTAAAAACTTGTAATGAGGCAATTAATTGACTTTTGACCCCGTTTCTTAACTGTTTTACCACAAAATTTTCTTTAGATTGTATGCGCAGTTTCGTGGATGTCAGTTTTCTTACCGACTTCACAAGTAGTTGAGGTCAAAGTATGTACACTAACTTATCCTGTGTTTTGGTTGGTGTAAAACACTGGGTTTTTAGATTATTAGTCATTATTTATTTTGAGACCATCTGTGTGTGCTGTTTACCCCAAACTCAAATATTGGTCAGTGCCTCTGATGCAGCTCTGCAGCTGTTTTAACATGCTTCAATCAACAGAGATAAAAATGGAAAATTCAAGCCAGTGCATTTACGTAACGAGCAGAGAGTGTTCCAGTTATTTTACTCAAACTGTAGACGTACTGTAGCATGCTTTATTTACACACAATTTTTTTTAAAAATACCGATAACACTAAGGCGCAAAAGAATTACAATCTGAGAACTTTGAATTAACACAAACAATAGACTGAATGCTGCTGCTTTTCCCCAACAGGCTGTGTGTAATAGATGGATTACCACCAGGGGATGACTTGATCGATGACCTCAGTAAATCTTTTTCCTTAGTGGTCTCAAACACCAGTTCAAGTGTCATTGAATATAAAGTTTGGTGAAAAAGAATGTTTTTCTAGGGCTCTAAGTACACCCTAGATTTCATTTTCTGTATTTTCTGCATGACTTTCTCAGTGTCTCACATCACTCTTCTATACAGCAGTGCCTCAGTTGACTGCATTCAGTCTTCTTCTCTATCAAGCACATCAAAAAACTGAAATTAGTTGTCTAGTAGATATTTGTAAAAACAAGCTCAATCTCTAATCTGTGCCCCTATAAAGAAACATGACATGGTGGAAGATTTATATTCACAGTTGCTGATAATGACTCAGTTCTTTTGGCTATAAACAGTGCCACCATGGCCATTTGTTATATCTGAAACTTTGACCTAATCAGCGTGAACATTTGTTTCCTTCTGAATTTGCTGACAGATGTTTTTTCTTTATCGTTTTATTTGCAGGACGAGAACATCATGAACTCCATGCAGCTGTTTGAAAATGTGATATAAGAATCTGGACGTCCGCAGCTGTTTTCCTTCATTAGCACAACTCGCATACAAACAGAGCAAAGTCATGCACTCCACCCAATGCCGCAGACTCCACAATAACGTAAGACACCCTGATACATAATGTAGCTCCAGTGAAGATGCAGGGACTAGAGGTTTTTCTATTTCTCGCCACACTCTTTTAATGGTATCTTGTGACTGTTTCTGGATTACAAAAACTGCCTCATGTCAAAGGAGATATTCTTGGATGACTTTTTTGTCCTCGGTGGCTCAACAGACATGCTGATTGTGCTTTGATCAGCGGACAAAAGCCACAAGGAACGAAGAGGCTCACAGAAATTGACAAACTACATGGATACTAACTTTAACAATAACATACAGTATATACACTCACATATGGAAAAGCCTGCTGTTTCCTCATATTTTTTTATAGCACTGGATGGAGAAAAAAATCACAGTGAAAAAAAAAGACATGAACTAAAGCATGTTTGTCATCAGATATGTCATGTGGAATTAGCTTGCACTACAGTTTTATGACTATGTATTATATGTGCCTGAAATAAAGGCACTGTAGATACCTGCACCTGATATACCACTGAAGAAAACCAGTGTATATGTATATACATGTAAAGTTAATAATTATATCTAATGCATTGTGTTGGTCTAATCTGTGCTCCACCAAGTGATGGAATAGGACCAGTGCTCAATATTTGTTTAAGAAATTTCAATGTTAATCACTTTAAAAAAAAAATGGTTAGTAAGCGTCGTTGGAATTTGGGATATTCAAATGTTTCTCTTCTTTTTTTTATTTTTGTTTTGGAAGATTATGTTTCCTGATCAGATTACAAAAATGAGTCTTTGCACAACCGTGAAGAAAGACACATCAAACTAAGACCTTTTCTTTAGTATCTGTGAGCATGCTGACTCCACAGTGCCACAGTGTCATGTACAGTACAGTAGGACCTTTGTGATGTCAGGTAATTAAAGATGCTGTCTACAGGTGCGACTTCTTCTCTTTATTGCATCCCTTTATTGTGGTTAACCAGTGCATTCAAATGATGATTCAGAAAATCTTTCATTATAAAAAGTCAATTTCTATTCCTCTGTATTTAGTGTTACATGCTGGCTTTGGAGCATTGTCCTGTTGTGTGACCCGGCTTATGCAATTACGGCTATTCTTCCAGTCTTTCTTGATCATACTGTCTATTACTGCATGCATAATGCGTTCCTCAGCCTGACAGGGGTCACACTGATACTTTGATACTATCCCTCAGAGTGACCACTAACCTGATGATGTCAAGCCCACCCACTTAAACAATAGAAGTGAATACAGTAAAATTATTATTTTAAGTGGTGCTTATTAATGTGCAGAGTAGATCAAGTTAACACAAAAGGGAAGACAATGACATGAACATATTTAATTTAGCAGCATATTTATTGATTGAACATTCAGGCTTTGGGTGAACAGGTTGCACAACATCACTGTAATGTGTGACATGAAAGGCTAAAAAGCACGCATTGGTTTTCTCAGGAATTGGTTAAGGGCCAAAGCTGGGATTGAAGTCAGTAATTAGACATATTTATCAGTTGTAAAACATAAAGTTTTACAACACAGTGGCAAAAGCAGGGATCTCATGATGAGTCCAAGATAGTTCAAGATTCAAGATTCTTTATTCGTCACATGCATAGTTATACAAGTACAACATGCAGTGAAATGTAACCTGACACACTCCTCGACTTGTGCAAAAGGGGGAGAGAAGAAGAACATTATATATTATATACATTAGGTGAATGTGCAGTAGTAGCATTGTATGCAGCAAGCAGGTGAATTCTGTACATTAAGCGAATTAAATAAGAACCGACAATCTGAATGTGAAGTATGCGATACACACAATGTTTCAAACAGAAACAAACAGAAAGAAGACACTGTCATCACATAATCGCCACCACCTGTGGCTCACCTGCCTCCCAGTACCGCCCCCTTGAGCTCACTGCACCACTCCTACTCAGACAATATGAACATATTTAAAAATAAAAAAGAATTTGAAATGTACATTGTGCCGGTGGGTGTCTAGAAGAGAGTCCTGTCTCAGTCACTTATGGATGCTGTGTGAGAGGGCGGGTGTATGTGTGTGTTTGTGGGGGGGGGGGATGTTATGGTTTAGGGCCCGGAAGGCTTGGGGATACACGCTCCTCTTGAGTCTCTCTGTCCTAGCCCGGATGATTTCAGAAGTTGGAACAGTTTGTTGCCAGGATGGGACGGGTCCTTCAGTATCTGCGCTGCTCTAGTCCGGCATCTCCTGGTGTAAGTGTCCTGAGTGGAGGGAGAGCAATCCTGTAGCAGTGCTCTGCTGTACGGATCACTCTCTGAAGAGCGTTTTGGTCCTTAACACAGCTGTTCCCAAGGATGTGATGTTCTGTGTGAGGATGTTCTCCACAGAACCCTAAATACACAATACAAGCCCAGAGCCCCGAAAGCTCGTTTTAATTGTTTAGGAGGCTGCAGAAAACTTACAGCCAGGTTATACAAGCGGGGTTATAATTACAGAACCTGTCCTTGAAGGGGGGGGAGTCTGGGCTGCGTCACGTTCTAAGTCGCTTCTGATTGGTTAAGGTGGGGCGAAAGCTTACATAGGCACCCGACGTCACGGGCGATGTGGGCATGCGTCCTGATGAGCGTCATTCCCGTGGCTTTATGAAAGGCGAAATCCGTCCACGCGCAGCTGTTTCGAAACCGAGGGGAAGCAGGTCGTCTAGGAAGAACTGGGTTTAAGGACAGTCTCCCAATCTCTTCGCCGCCGTCCGCTGCGCGCGTGTGAGCCACTTTCCGCCTTCAACTGTCGTCTGCGCGTGCCTCCCGCCTCGCACAGCTTCAACAACACAAGCCACGGGGACAAGCCAGCGTTAGCCGAGAAGGGAAGTGGACTCTGTCTACTCTTTTATCAGGTAGGTGAGTGCAAAACGTGCCACGTTATTTTTAATTCCAGTGCCTTGTGAGTGTTAGGCACCCCTGCGTTGGTTTCCCACTCTGTACGCCGTCTCAGTTTAGGGGCTGGAGTTGGCAGAAGATAACCGCTAGCGGTTAGAGGTGTGTGAGCTCCCCTCTCTCTCTCTCTCTCTCTCTCTCCTCAGAGGACTTCGTGGGCCGCCTCGACCGTGGCGATGCTGATGCTGAAAGTGTGACCGTGAAAATAAAGGCCCAGATAGCCAGGGTTCTGTTAGGGTTCCAGTACTAGTCACCTTTCTCCTCTTTAGCTCATATTTTTTTTACTTATCAGTATGAGGTTTAGGGCAGATGTATCAAGGTTTCTAGATAATGAGGGCTTTATTGTGACTCTTACAACACACAAAACATAATACAGATAGGCTAAGTATGCATGAATAAAAACCCTTAATGAATCAAGCAGCACTAACTGCTACACTAATGCACATTTGGCTTTTAGGATTTACTGGCAATTGATGATGGCAGTGTCCTAGAAACGTGGCTAGGCAGGTGGGTGTATGCTCACAGTACATGTGCATCTATCACATGACCAATAAGTGGCCCAAAAAAACCCAACCCAAAAGCCAATTTGGGCAGTGCCTGGAGGTGACATGGCTATTTACGATTGCATGAGAATTGCATTATAAAATTTACTTTGTATCAACACCCAGATTCCAGGTAGCAGCTCGACTGCTTTATTTTCCTCTCTGAGTAGTTTAAATTTCAAATGAAACTGCCATTCTCAGAGCAGGGACCTTTGATACAACTGCACCTGCTTACACGGGGCTTTGTTGTGAAAGTAATGCTTTCAGCTTGTGGTTGTCATCATCAGGGTCCTCAGATCAGTCACAATTGTCATGAGAAGTGTCACAGTAATGCAATCCATGAGATATTTTAATCTGTAATATGACTGAGATTTGGCCGTTTTATTCTTTCAAACTGCTGACATTAGTTATAATGCCAGCATTGATGGGGTTGTGGACTGATTTGATATAAATTTCTTCCACAAAACACACAACGCAACTGCTGTTTAAGCAGGGGATTTAGTGCATTTTTTCCATTTACCAAATAAATACCGTGGTGTAACATAGCTGGTTTTCTGTAAGCTTTAAATAAATACTTTTGCCAGACCAAATGGCCAGTAGCACATTTGTGTCCCGTCCACAAATAAACAATTCCTCTAGCCTCATTTCCCCCTCTAAAATTGTGTTTTTGAAAATTCTTACTGCAGTCTGTTAGTGCTTGCAGTACATACCCTGCACCACCCTGCACCATAATACATGCAAAGTATTATCCTATGTCATTTAACCTGTAGTTTTCAAAGCACTTGAGTGGACAAGATTTGTGACATTTTTTTCTTCAGCTGTGTTTAGTTTAGTTTTTAGATTTTCTTTTATTTAATTTTGTGTAGCTGTTTTTCTTGGTGATGAATATTCACAGGTAGTATGCATCGACATGGAGGTGACCTGCTTTTGAGCTCAAGATTTTTCTGACCTACTACATGCAAAAGAAAAGGATGCATACACAAGGAGTGATGTCCTGGGTTAATAGTCATGTATGTAATCCCAAAAATAAACCCATACGAGTATAATTAAGTAGTTGTTGAACTTAAATTATGAAAAACTGAGAAGTGCAAATACAGCTAAAGAATATTTAAAGGATTTTTCTTAGGAATGTTATCCGGATAGTAGTAGATTAAAATCAGCCATTTTCTTCATAGATAATAGGGGTTTTAAGGAAATTTACTATAATGATATTTATGACAATATAGAATAAAATACCAAGTTTTATTGGTGTTTGCAACACAGAATGATGGGTGTTTTCCATCCTTTCCCAGTAATCTACAGTCATCGATGACAGACTACCTAAACTGAAGTCTGGCTTTATCAGAGTGCCAATACCAGCATTATTACAGTGCAATTGTAGTGACACAGCATTATATACGATGATGCAGCTTAAGTCTGGGATGTTTTAACTCGCTGTTTAAAGCCCTGCTTTTCCACCATTTAACTACATCCTTCATTTCCATGCAATGTTTGTTCCTGTCATATTGAGTGCACCTAGCGAGTGCTCCAGTGATGTGCCATTGGTTCGTTTACTTTTGGGTCACACATCACCAGTTGCTAATAGCTCCTTGCATGCTGTCATAGCTTGATTCTACTTGTTGTCTGTGGTGTTTTTGGTTTTCTATATGATTTGTTTTATTTTTCTCCCCCTCAAGAGGTGAAACAGCCAAAGAATTGTGCTTTGTTGGCGGTCTGACCTCTTGTAAACAGGCAATCTACTTCAATACTATTGACAAAGCTCTTGCTCTAAGTGTTTGGGCTTGTCTTGTTTATTTGCGTGGTAGGTAATTTTAACTCATGCATTGGTATAGTATGATATGGCCCAGCCCTAATAATGTTTTCAGTCTTTCAGATGTAACAGATGGCAGTTAATAAACCTTGGGGCAGATGTATGAGCTATTGATCCATAGGTGCTGTGATGTAGAGGGGGGGAGCTCAGTGAGTGAGCAGTGACTGTCTGAAAGAAAGGGGAAGATACAGATGAAAAGCCATTTGTAACCACAGATTGTTCTGTAAGCTGTTTAGTTTAGCCAGTCACACTTATTCATATTGGGGACCAAATGAAAGTGGAGCACTTGAAATAGAAAGAAATGTGACAGGCTGTTGGGACCAGGTGTTCCCTTTGAAGCTCTGTCATCCGTTATCCTCAAAAAACCTTAAAGATGGAATGCCTGACTGATAGGCCAAACTGAGGAAAGTGGTGATTCTGGTTGTTTGGCAAGAGCAAAGGTCAGTGGTTGAGATTTAATTGTGGTGGGTCACGATCACGTCAAGGAAACAAAGGAAAGTAAAGATGCTACATAGTGCTGAGGAGGAGGAAAATGGCTTAGAACCAGTCCTGTCAACAGCAAAAGGAAAACAAAGAAAGATGGAAATTGATGGAAAAGATTATTTTAGAGCAGTGGATGAAGTGATGAAATTTTCCTGCCAGTGATTCCACAAAGAGGCACCCCTCTCTCATCTGTCAGTTATGTTTAAAAAAATAATAACTAGCTGTCCATGAACAACCTGTTCATGGACAGCAGTGGTATTACCATTAGTTTATATATCAACTGTGAGTCATGCTAAAAACATTCTGTGTATTTATTCGATGCTACTGTAAAATAAGGTACTTCTCTGACTTCAGTGTGGTTTATTTCCAGTTCGGTTAAGGTTGTACACTAAACTGCAGTCATCCTGGACATTGTTTCCTTTTAATCCGTTAAACCATTTCATCTTGGTCACACTGAAAAGAGCAGTGGCTCACCTAACAGAATGTCGGGGCCAGGACAAGACTCATAGAGGCAAACTGGGTCGCAGATTCTGGCCCTTTTTGGTGTAGGCAGCATGTGACTAAGATTACACTGTAGTGCTGGGTCATGCTGTGCCTTCCTACTGTACTGTGTAAATGTGTCTGCTTGTGTGGTGTTGACTTCTGTTTTATTTATAGCTTTATAACATTGATTTTCTGCTAGAAAAAGAAATAAAAGGAATCTGTTTTATAAAGTGGACAGCTACACATGCAGCCGTCTAAATTCCTGTTTGTTCGTTTGATATAATTGATTAAGGTGTGGATTAAACGGGTAAAACCAGCATGGCAGCCCATATGACTCTTGCGTAACAAATACTGAAAAACATACCCTGCTGTATTAACCTCTTATGTGAATAATTTATTATGTTTAGCATTAGTGGAGCATTGTTTCTGAGCTGTTGTTTTGTCTTAGGATTGTTTTGAAATTGCAACGTCCATAAATTTCCCTCACAGAGGAATTTGTTTGTGTATATCTGCCTACCCTTACAGCTGTTGATTATGATTATTTGCGCTGTTTTACCCTTCTTTTCTTCTGGGTCACATCTGGCTTGATGTAATGAGTTGTAAAATTAAAATGAGGATTCTATGGATTCCCCCCCCCCCCCAAGAAAAAAGATTTTTCTCTAAGGGGGAGGAGGGATGTGTGGATGGAAGTGCCCACTGAAGCCATTTATTGATTTATTGGTGATTGTGTATAAGTGGTTTTTCCTTAGATGCTAGTGTTTGTGTAGTGAAGACCAATTCCTTTAAAATATATCCTAAATATTAAAATGACTGATCTGAGTGAATTTATGTAAAATTGTTTACATAAACATTTTAGAACTTGAAACCTGATCCACAGCCTCAGATTATGTTTGTAGAGGTCCTCTCAGATCCATACTGATCCCTTAAAACCAACCTTATTGTGCCTACATTGTACTTCAAATGATGCTAATACTGGAAATTTTTTATAATACTTGCACCCCACCTGAGGACACCCATATGTGTTAAATTACCTTCACAAATGAGATTATGCAATTAGTTGGTTTTGTCTGTTTTTTTAGCAGGATGACTCAATGTTATATACCACTTTGCGTGAAGATTTTACTAGAATTGGGGCTTGGTCAGACTGGGAAGTGATTTAAAATAAACATCACTAACCCTTGAAGTCAATCTGGTTCTAAGATTTTTAGTTTTTCCTTCATGTAGGATTCTGTATAGGGATTGATATTTGTCTCTGTCCTTACCTAGACAGTATAAAAGACTATTTGAGGTCTGAGAAGTGCCTATAACCTGCATTCTTTTTACTGGCCACCACTGTGTGATACCTATATTCATCTTTTGCACGGTCTTTGTTCCTGACTCAAAAAGCTGGATCAAATGTTAGTGACAATGGGTAGTACTTGCTTGTACTTGTCAGCCATTGCCTGAGAGTAAGGTATCAAATCAGAACAGGAAAAAATTAGTAAGTACTTCTTGTTTAGTGTGGAGAACCTGGGCAATTTGCTTCATATCTTCACAAATGTACGTAAAATTGGAATAAGAAATATTGTGAGACATTTTCCTGGTAATCTCAGGAGAATATTTGTGGATCCGCATATACTTATGAATTGAGGCACCCAGTTCCTACA